CCCCCCAGCTCTGGCAGCCTTGGGGGCCCTGCTCCTGCCCTTCACTCCTGCCCCCCCACCAGGCAGCTGCATCGGGGTCTTTCCAGCGTGCCCACCCCTTTCTGGCTGGGCTGGGCCCCAGGGGGCAAACCCTGCCCCGGAGTCACTCCCAAGTGGTTGGATGGAGGGGTCCTGCACCCGCTCCTTCCAGCCCCACTTCTCCAGGAGTCGGGGACTGCCACCCAAACGGGGCCGTCAGTAGGTTCCAGAGTGAATGACGGGAAAGGGCAGGAAACAGAGGTGGAGGGTCCTGGGGGGCACCAGACTGGGGTCAGCCCCCTCCCTCCCATAACGCCCCTGCCCCCTTGCTCCAGCCCTCTGCCCCCGGCCCGTGGGACTCACAGCAGCTGGAGCTGGTCCTGGCGCCGAATCAGCGCGTTCTTCTTGTTCACCAGTGTGAACCACTCCTGGATGAGCTCCTCCTCCCGTGGGCGGTCCGTGCCTGCGGCCGGGGGGCACGTGTGAGCAGAGATACCCCCATCCCCTTTTACCCACCTCCCAAATGCCCCCAGACCCTCCCCCCTGGCCAGATACCCCGTCCGGATCCTCTCTGCCCAGCCCTGACTGCCCTCAAGACCCCCCCCCCCACCCCCTGCTACTGCAAATACTCCCATGCCCCCCAAAGCCTCTGCCTGGCCAGATATTCCCCACCCCCCGGTCCAGCTTCCATGCCCCCCAGATCTCTGCCAGCCCAGATACCCCCCCAGAACGGGGGCAGAGGCCAGGGGAGTGGATAAGACCCTGACAGACCCCCGCTCATGATGGGTTAGAGGGCAGGGGGGTCCGTCCGTACCGGACTCCATGAGGAAGCGCAGGTCTGTCTCCACCACGGCCGCGCGGGCGTCCAGCTGCTGCTGCTCCACCTCCAGCGCCCGCAGCTCGGCCAGCACGTACTGGCTGGTGTCCTGGAACCGCTGGGGGGGCACGGAGGTGAGGGGGGAGCAGGATCGGGCCCTCTGGGAGGCGCAGGTCTCTGCCCCAGTCCCCACCCCAGGATCAGGCCTGGATCCAGCCCCCCGCACCCAAATATCCTGCCCC